GATTTGAAGGCGTGCAGATTACAGGGCCAAACCAAGTCACTGACGCAACATATAAAGCTGTACCTGGTGAAATTTCATTGTAAGTCTGCCTCTGAGCTCAATTACATTTTTACTGTCCAATACCCATTGACTGACACTCAGTACTGTTTTACATTATTTGTAAACTTTTGTTATTTCTATTGGGTCTTCTATTTTGTTTTTGAGGGGTGTTGTTATACTGATGTTTTATTTGTTACAGCCTGCATATTCTCATTTCAAATTTACATTTCGGCATGGAATTTCCGTTTTATGTTTTGGCCTGTGTGATTGCGCTGACTGTTTGGACACACCAGGTTGCCAGGTATGACAGTTAGGAGAGTATTATGGGGTGGCCCATGAACTCCGCCTGGATAGCCCAGTTTTACTCATTTTTCATGCAGACTGTGTGTTACGGCGATAGAGCCGTGAGTGGATGTAGTGTTGTGCTGCTCTCTCTCTCTCATGTCTTCCAGGTGCTGCCCTGGACGAGCCCCCAAATCAGTCAGAAATATACAACAGAAACACGTTCTTCAAAGTTTGACTGTAAATTGACTCAATTGGCAAAAGCAATTAATCAATAACGTTACATTGAACAAATACAGACATTATGCATGTGCACCCATAGCTATTAGCTATTTATCTATTCTATCCTATAAAAAACATTTGTAATGTACAGCGTACAGATGATTTTGTAGATGCATGCAATAACAAATTTATCAACACAGGATGTGACAAAATTATCTACTTTATGGCAGAAAGGGTTTATGTTTGTTTATTTTTCTAGGTAGTTGTGGCTGGGACTGCTCACTATGTGACAAATGAACACAGGTGGGTGCAGGTGAAGCTGCCAACATGACTGCATGGAACGCACCAGGACAAAGCAGTGGCTCATAAGAGGCTCATTGGCTCCTCAGAATATTATCAGCAACAAGCAGTGTCCGAAGGAAGTTCATAAGTACCTTAACTTGAGCTAATTTGTGTTTGTTTTTTAACAATGAGAATACAAAGCTAAATAAATGAAATGATTAAATATCTGCCCATGACTGCATTTATTTTATTTCTTTTTACAGATCTCCAGCTGTCCAGAATCACATACTGATGTATGCCAGTAAACTTTCTGCATTCAGCCCACCAGCCTTCAAGGCCAGAACCCTGCTCACAGCCCTTGAATACAACTACCATACGGACTGACAAAAGCTGATGTTTGTTGCACAATACAATTTATCTTATATAATCTAGTGGAGAGACCTTATGAGGAGAGGAGAGCTGATGGGGGAGATTACTGCCAAAAAACGGCACACATCATCCAAAGCACTTCAATGTGCCTTGAATGCGTTGGTTGAAAAGACTTGTTTCAACATCAGCCTGCTACATAGTCAGTTCATGAATGTAACACACATAAATCCATGATTAGTTGCACCTTGCAGTGTATGAGAGTTATATGGTTTAAATGCCAGTTCTTGTGCTATCCCTTTGATCTATATATAATCTATATAAGTTATCTCCCCTATCAGCTCTCCTCTCCTAAAGATAAATTATATTGTGCAACAAACATGTTCTTAAGGCCTAAAACAATCCAACTCACTGCTTCCATCAGGTTGTGTCAGTCCTTATGGTAGGTAGGTGGGGGAAATGTTTGAGGAACAGACATATAGGGAGGCAGTTGCCTAGGACCTTGTCTGCTAAAGGGGCTGTGTAAATTTGTATTTACCTTTTTTTATTTATAAAACCTTTTTTCATTTTTTGTCAGTCCACCCCTGTTCTAAACAATTAACGTCATTTTTGTCATTTAGGATAAGACAAACTATAGCCACATTTTAAGATGCTGGCAAGTGCTCTTTGAAAAATATATCAGCATAATGCTGCCTGAATCCATGTGAATGCAGCGTAAGGCTTTGTGACTCAGGTGCCATGTTAAGAAGAGGCAACATATTGCTGCTGCTTCATCTGTCAACTCAGTGTTTAAGGGAAGAAAACTAAATGTGATCACACACGTATCTCTATTTGTGCTCAGCGAACATCTTCAGCATGCATTGTTACTCTCTTTTGCTCTTCTGTTGGTATATTTCTCTCAATTCTCCTCCTTTTCTTCCTCTATGCTCTGAAGAAGTCTATATTATTCTTGTGTGGTCAAGCAGAAACCAGAGATGACATGCTCCACTGGGAAAGGTGGTAAAAGGTATGTGAAAAAAACTTTGATTATTGGACGAAAGCTACAGAAAACTTGCGAAAGAAAATGAATGAGATGGGAAGAAAGCTGCTGCTCTTGGCGGAAAAGAATAACATACATTTACAGTAGCAAAAATAAGTGAAAACAGTTTATTGTAATTTTTCAACACCCTTCTGACAAGTGGCTCATTGTCATGCTGCATATTATTTTGAAAAGAACTTAAATTTAACACAAAAGTAGAGGATTAATGGGTTCTGTGGAAGTGGAGTATTGAAATTATGCTCAGGGACAGTTGGAACACAACTAGGTTGATAGTGGACTCCCATTTCTTTTCAACACATACTTTTTGTCATGTCATTTTATATAACTCCACTGGCGGTGAGATTATTATGATCTTCTCTCTACTGTGTTTCTCAGACTATGGAGTGCAGTGTTTTCCTATACCAGGCTTCAACAGTTCTGTGAAAATTTCAGGGGGCCAGGTGGCAGCACTGAATCCCCTGTGGATTATGTCTCTGTGAGAGAAAAATGGGAGAACAGAGCTGCATTATCCAGCATCTTAGCAATTTTAGTCATCTTTCAGTGGGACACAACCAAAACAAACACTGAAGACAGAGTGACACCTTCAATGCAAGATGATAGCAGGTCTCTTTATAGAATAGCCATGGCAGTATCATAGTCACTGTTATGACTGGGGTGGCTGTGGCTCAGGAGGTAGAGCGGGTTATCCACCAATTCAGAAGGTTGGTGGCCAAGTGGCCTAGAGCAAAGACCAAAACAAAACATTTCCTGTATTTTATTTTAGTTACCAAATTTTCTAGTTTTTATATTTATTTCGGTCAACTGGAATGTTTCACACCTGACTGTAGCTCTGGCGATTTCACTGTTCAACAAATTCACTGTTAACTGAGGCCACACCAGTTCGTCAAACAGTGCACATATCCTCTGCAGATGGTCCTCCCAAGTGTCACTGAAGATGACAACATGATTCAGATACGCAGCACGACCAGACGAACAATCAGCCACTGGAAAGTGGCTGATTGGGTGTTACGCAAACCAAAGGGCATTACTTTATAGGAATACAAGCCGCTCTCCTCGCCCAAGGAGACAATGGGACCTGCCAGTATCCTTTAAGTAAATCAGATTTCACAAACATCAACATGTAACCCAAAGTGATATAATAAGACAACAATCCAATAATGAATTTTTAAGGCCTTTTTAACAGTAGTCAGTTGAAAGGAAAAATATTAAAGGTTTTTTGTTTTGTTTTTTTCTGGGATTTTTTTCTGAGACAGATGAAGATCAGGAAGCTAGAGCTTTTTTTTCTACATCCAAGGGGCTTCATGCAATTGGAACTAGCATCACAATTACTGTATGAATTCTCAAAGTCAAGCATTAATCAAGAAGCTCAAATGAATACATTTTTCACTTACTTATGTGTAATGTAGAATACTTTTTATATAGGTTACAGAGCACCACTTCAGGGGAGAATTTTACTTGGCTCAGAGCTCACTGAATAGACATAATATTGACATTCAGTATATGAATATTTTTACATTTTTCTGCCAACAACATTTTTTAAGAAATTGAGACCTTTCCAATGAAAGTTTACACAGATTGTATAACTTTACTGAAGCAGTCGTGGGCTTTGCTGTGTTTGGCTTTTCAGAGGATATTCTCTGCTGGAGCTTTGATCTATGGCCTTTTCACAGTGAAGGACAAATTCTATGTTCTTTTCTTTGTATTGAATCAGTAATGGAAGATGGGCCATTGGTCATGTAATACCTGACTTTTCTCTTCTATTTTGTTGTACATCCTCAGGTTTAAAAAATCTTTGGGCCCAGATTACAGTACAACTGTTTGGGGGCAGTGTAAATCCATGGGATTTTTACATTTGCTCATCCCCAACCCATTCAGTCCTTTTCTACCACACACAGCTCTTGGGATTAAACAGATAGAGAAGGGGGTAGGGAGTACGCTGGGAGCTGGCTCTTTCAGCTCTGCTTTGAGGTTGATGGTCAGTGGCTGTTATATAAGCCAAGTGGATTTCAAATGCATAGTTGAGCTGTTCTCCTCTTTGATGCATGATGCCTTTGTGTTCCACTAACCGGGTTGCCCATGCACATTATGCAACATACATGCAAACACTGATGGCTATACAGTCTCTGCCTCCTATGCACTGCAGAGTCCTTCAAATAATGAAGGACAGTCGTCCCTACCTCCACTCTTTATATGCTCAACTTGACATTTTTCAGACATAACCGGATAGTTTCTGTGTCCACCCACCACACACGAGTACAGTCTAAAGCCCTATAATATGCATTGTCACCACTTTGGATAAAATCACATTACTCAGTTGTTATAGTTGATCCTTAAATACAAATTAGTATGTGTTGCTGTTGAATTATATCGCCTTATACTACAACTTATATTTTCTCCACCCCATTCATATCAATAGGATTGGTAAGAAACTCCTCCATTGTATAATGCTGTATTTTTTTTGTTTCGTGTAACCAATACACTGGCAAGTGAGTGTACCTCTTATGGTGTTTGTACAAAACCATGATGACATTTATTAAAAACATACAACACTGATTAAAGAGTATTTCCAGTTTATTTACATTTGTTTTCATATTTTTGGCCTTCATCCCCGTTGAACTTCTCTTCTAGTTAGGCTGTATACCGACAGCTCAGCAATGGCTTTTGGGAGTAAATTGTTATTATAATGGATAGGAATGGTGCATTTACAGAACTGCAATGAACTTACATTTGTGAGTAAATTGGACACGGGACCAAAGCAGAAACTCCATCAATGCCAGACTTTATTTTGCATATGAACAATTCCTGATATCCATGCATACATTATAATGAGCTCACAAGGTGAGAGAGAGAGAGACAGAGAGAGAGAGAGAAAGAGAGTCTAAAATATATATTCCACCTAATGTATTGCAGGGTATAATAAGACAGTAGCAACCCACATTGCTTGCACTCAATTAGTGTTACAGTGTCACAAATGAGGTTATTCAAATTGGTTAACTCTGGTTATATTTTCAACCAAGTTTTGTAGAAATGTTTTATTGGCCTGATAAAATGTCTTCATTTAACTGGAGTCTGATACTATATAACTACATGACATTTCGTACAAAATAAATACTTATATAATCCATGATACATTTATATAATCACTGTAAACATGAAAACAAAACGGACATCATATATTTACTGTACTACAGGTACTGCAAACAAAAGTGCTTGATAGAAGACAAAGATAATATGCACCCCTGTTTTTACTGTGATTGTTCAGAGGTCAGATAGCACCATATGTCAGTCCGTGGACAGCTCAGAGAATAGAAGCTGCTTTATATTTGGTATTTTTCTCAATCAGCTTTTTTTCATTTTTTTTCATTTTTTTTTACTCTGTCACAGCATATCCGTTAATGTCCGCTCAGTGTTCTTCTGAGGTTGGGTTCAGACAGAGTCCACCTTGACCTGGTTATTGTTGGTCATGAGCGGTGACGGTTTACTCTTAAGCCTCTCCCCTGCATCGTTAGAGCTGTCCTGGAAGAAGATGCGCGCCGTGCACACTGACACTACAATGCGCTTGTACTCACGCCGGAAGTTCTGGTTCAGCACACCATACACAATGGCATTAAGGCAGCTGTTGAAGTAAGCCATGAAGTAGCTGGCCACAAATAACCACTCAGGGATAAGGGGTACCACTACCTCTGGTTTGATCGCTACTGCCAGACCAATGAAGTTGAGGGGCGCCCAGCAAACAGCAAACAGCACAAACACCACAAACATGGTGACAAAGTTTCTAACGTCATGCGGCGTTAGCTTGGGACGATTGTCTGGTTTGACCCGTCTCCTCACCTGTATGACCAGTATCCAAATGCGCAGGTAGCAGTAGGTGACAATCATGATGGGTAAAATAAAGTGAAAGAAAACCACTGCGATAGTGTATGCTGAGCTGGCTGACTGTTCAAAGGTGCAGGAGTAAACTCGTGGGTCATACTGAAGTGAACCCACAAACAGGTTGGGTACGATGGCCACCACAGTCAGCGCCCAGATTAGCATCACATAGCAGACAGAGTTTTTGTCACTGTACAGTTTATCATACTTGAGGCTGTGACAGATATAACAGTATCTGTTTATGGCAATGCCAGTGATGTTGAAGATGGAGCCGATGACGCTGACACCCATGAGGAAGCCACTGATCTGGCAGTGGACGTAACCCAGGTTCCAGCCATTGTGAAAGATGGAGGTGAGGACCAGAGGGTACGGATAGATGGCCACCACAAGGTCTGCCACTGCCAGGCTCACCACAAAGATGTTCCCTACAGACAAAACATACACCCACAGAAGAGACAAGAGAAGACACGAGTCATTGACAACAGAAGCAGAGCAGATTGGTTATCCAAATGAACGAGACAAAGAGAGCATGTGTGATTCTGCCGAGAGAATGCCAAATTATTCATTCAGAGACATTTTGGAATAGCCTGATTGGCAAGGACTGTACCATTATTTTCCTTGTTTTAGCATATTTTCTTTTTTCCAGCTTTCTGGTAGCCATGTGTTTCAGTATGGACGAATCTAAAATACAGAGCAAATGTCAAACATGATCATAGAAAGAAACAAAAACCACGTAGTTTTCAGTTTCAAGCTGGACTTCTTGAAATTTTACTAGTCACTGCCATCTCTGTCCTTTACTTAACAACTCAGTGGAATAATAACTGCATTATCACAGAGCAATGACATATCGTTGACAAATAAAACACTGAAAATGTCCCAGGATCTACATCAAGGGTCTTCATTTTCACTGAGCACTAATATTAAAAAAGGAAAGCAAAAGTCTGCTTGCAGGAAGGACAATCCTTTTGAAAATCCCCAAATCTATGGTATTCTTTGGAAAATGGCTGCCTGTAATTTAAAGGACCAGTGTGTAAGATTTAGAGGCCTCTAGCAGGAAAGATGCAGATTGCAACCATATTAATACAGTTCCAACTAGGAGAAAGAACAGTGGCATAACTGGAAAACTAAAACTGAAAGGCCCTATCTACAGCCAGTGTTTGGTTTGTCCTTTTTGGGCGAATATAGAAACATAGTGGCCAACATGGCGGCCTCCGTGGAAGAGGACCCAACCCCCTCTGTAGATAAAAATGGCGATTCTTATTTTCAGATGAATATACACTAATGAAAACATGAATATTATATTCGATTTCTGCCTATAGATCCTTCTAAATGTTACAAACTGGAGTGTGCATGATTTGTAAATATGCTACAACATGCAAAAACACCCCCACAGGGAAAGGGCCTCAAGGCTACATTTTTATTGTCTGTTTGTTTGTGCATATGCACGCTTGTGTGAATGCATAAATACATTTGGTAGTTTCCCAGATGATTTGGCGTGTGTAATAATGAAAGGGAGGGGGTCCCTGTGACATAAGAATGCATATTCTAATTGCCTGGGCTCTACATTGTGTGATCAAGGCAAACCTGATATGCAGGTCAGGTGGTAATCAAGGGCATACAAGTGTATTCTTTGTCCCCCAACTCATGGAAAAATTAGACATGGTTTGTTGGAGAACACACTGTTGCATGCAGAGAGGCGACAGACAGTGACTGTGATCATCCTCTTATAAGTGAAATACATTAAAACGCACAACAACAAAAGAGCAAATATCTTTATCATGCTCAGTGGAAACAGTGTGGGCCCACACTGCTTTGCATCTCCAGTTTTCCTTAATTATGCCGACCTCTACATTTTAGCATTATTTACTGTTGAGTGCCCCATCATGAGAATGTTGGAGGATTCTAACATCTAGCCAAACGGCATTTTCACAGCTGTCACTTACATATTAGTGGAATGTGTTATGTATAGTAGTAAGCACCACATTACGATGCCTAATGACAAGTCCAGATCCAGTCTTGCCTATGTGACAACACCCTGTCACAGATGATAAGATGCATTTACTGCATGTCAGATGGTAACTAAGCACGTCATGTATCTCTACGATCACTGCAGTGCAAATTTCATTTCTGCACTGACGTTTGGTCTGTCAGTATCAGACACACTCCCCCACCCTGCAGGCAGACCTGTCAGTCTCACCTGAGCATTAGAAGCACACCACTGATCAGTCTGGTGGCCTGATATCTCTCATAGAACATACCAGCTATTCAACTGCTAGGGATCATATGTGGCTATTAATTAAGTTTTGTCCTTTTATATCTGTCATTCAGCTGCCCTCTATAGGGAATTAGTTGCACCTGCTGTTGTCACAAGATCCCATGGTTGCTAGAGAGCTTTACTGTATGCATGTGTGTGACTGGGTGTGTGTGTGTGTGTGTGTGTGTGTGTGTGTGCTCAAATAAATTTATCTATGTGAGGACTTTGAGAGAGAAGACACTTTTTGGAAAGTAATACAATTTTTCAATGGGATACCATTAAAACTTGGTTTTATGGCTCAGGTTTGAATTAGGTTTGAGTTAAGGTTAGAGAAAGTGTTTGTGCATGTAGTTGTGACAGTTGAAGCACCAGTGATTGATGTTTTTGGCCACCTGGTAGCAGCAAAACAAGTGGAAAAAATCAAGTGGTAAAAACAACACTGATATATTATCACCTTATAACAAGAGATTTGTTTTTTTCTGAAAATAGCTTCCTGATGTGACTGGAAACAAGGTTGATGAAAGTGGTGAGGGTGAACCAAAACAGTAACGTGGCAGACTAGAGAACCAAAATGAGCTGAAAGATGTTAAAATACTCCATAAAGCTGAATTGCAGGGTCAGGTTATAATGTTTTGTGGGTTGCCATGATGAGTGATCCATTTCACATTACCAATAATCATTTGATCAATTGTTAACATAAACAAAAAGTGAACCTGTAAGGTTAGAGTAAAAAGTATGTGCCCACTTGTACATTACATTGTGGGGACAATAGTCACACAGTGACAATCTGGAGACTCAACTCCAATTTGCGGACAAAAAGCTGATTTCCATCTGATAAACTATTAAATGTTACTGTTAAAGGTCCAGTGTGCAACAAAAACAAAAGTATGTATAATAGTGCTGTTGTTCTTGCATGTTTTAGCATATTTACAAATCATGCACACTTGTAGCCTACACGGTGCGTAACATTTAGGAAGATCTATTGGCAGAAATTGAACATAATATTCATAGGTACGTTTTCATTTGTTTATAATCACCTGAAAATAAGAATTGTGTTTTTGTTTGTGTCTTTATCTTCAGAGGGAGTGGGTCCTCTTCCACAAAGGCCGCCATGTTAAGCCGCCATTTTTCTGCAGTAGCCAAGAACGGATAAACCAAATAGTGGCTCTAGATGGGACCTTTCAAGTTTTTTTTCAGCCACCATAGTTTCTCCTGAACTTGAAATGGGAGGTTACTTGGTTATTGGTAAAGATCAGGGTTGGGAATAGTTATGGTAGGACTAGGTCTCCAATGAATTAATGTAAGTCAGTGCAAGGTCCTCCTAAGTGACAAAAACAAGTGCACATGTGTGTGCTGGCTGTGTTAGTCAAGCTCCATGCATAGTGCCAAATGAGAACATGTTTTCCGTGTTCAAAGAAGGTGTTGAGACAACATGCGAACAGTCATCTTTAAGGGACTGTCTTTCCTTCCCTTGGCTATTCTTTACTGTAACAACCCTGTTACAGCATTTTAAACTCAAGTCACTCAGTATTAACAGCCTTGACCTTGACAAGGTCATGTTGTGAAAGGCCCACAGGCAGCTGGCTCTTTTGGCTGTTGGACTTTCTCACTCACTGTCTCTGTCACTGTGACCAGTCTTGTGATTGACGTATCAGTCTGAGTTTTCATTTGGCTTGAGGAGAGATATGGCCTGGTGCTGTGTCCCTTTTCCATTTCTGCAATACCACATTTTTAACCAATTTCTGGTAGGATTTAGCTAGTGAAGTGAAGCCCATTTGAGCATTTTTTGCCACTGTAGCTCCCAATGATTTTTGACACACACACACACAGATATACAGTGCATTTAGACATTATCCAGTCAGCTAAACTTTTTTCATAATTTATGGTGTTCCAGCATAATCTCAAAATTGATTTGTTTGTTTTTTTGGGGGGTGACAATCAAGAATAATGTTTTTAGAATTGTTTTTTCGGACATACTGACAATGACATACAGGTATCTCATCCAAATTAGTTTTCACCACCCAAGTCAATACATATATTTTGGCAGTAATAACATCTCTGAGTCTATATCATCGGGAACATCTGAATTAGGATTTTGTCCCATTTTTCAGAGCAGTTACTCTGGTTCAGTCAAGCTGAAAATGACGCTTCTGTGAGCAGCTATATTGAAGTCTTTCCACAGATTTTCCAAAGGGATTTAAGACCTGGCTTTTACTGGGTCATACCAGGACTGTTACTTTTTTGTCCTGAAGCCACCGCAGTGATATGGAAGGGCTGTGATTAGATATGTAGCTTAGCGTTAGAACAGTCAGAGGAGACTATTTTATTCTTAAATCTTTTGCTTCAACTTGTTCATTGACCACTTCTATCTAATCAATTAAGCTCCTCTTGGCTCTTCTCCATTCACAAAATGTTCCTCCTTTTTAACAAAACAAATCAATTAAAATTCAAGGGGCCACTTCCTATTGGTTCACATCCAATCAAATAAGCTTAATACTTTCCAGTCATTATATCCATGCAGAAGCCACTCACTAATCAGTGTGTATTTTATTTAGTTCAATCAACTGTTCCTGCACTTCCATCTCACAGTGGTGACCTCCCCCAATACACAACATAAACACTCGCCAAGCCACAGGACTGACCAATTAAATGGTTATTCCCCATGATTGGGCATTAGCCCAGAATCAAGTCTGAGCCAAGAACTAATCTATGTATAATCAGTGAGACTTTGGACATAATGTCTCCACAGACTGAACTTTCTGTATATCACTACTGTGAGAAAACTGTAACTATAACAAAAGGCCTTACAGTTGGTGGCATTTATTCTTCATCGAACCTCACAAGCCCCAGTCCCTCTGCACTGAAATGAGCACCCACAGCATGAGACTGCAACTTTCACGTTTTATAGCAGAGCTGGTATATTTATAATATAAATATATATGAATATTGTATATTGTAATATTGTGATTACTTATTAGATGTTTTTACACAGAAATGTATGTGTGTATGTATATTTATTATAATTATTCCAACAGAATCAAATCATCTCTACATATTGAAATCCCCTTCTTTTTCCCTTCAAAGTTGTTAGTGTATTTCCCAAAAAATCTATTTAAACCTCAGCAAATCACTTTGAAACTTTAAGGAAACCATCAACTTAACTTTATTTCT